TTAAGCCCTGGCCAGTTTGGCTCAACAGTTGGAGCATCGGCCTGTGGACCAGAGAGTCCGGGTTTGGTTCCCGGTAGGGGCGTGTACCAAAAAAAAAAAAAAAGAATTAATATCCACATATAAGGAGATCTTACTAATTAGTAAGGAAAAACAAGCACCTTTTTATTAGGACTATTTTCAGCTGCAAGCAACAGAAAATCAATAACCAAAGATATGCAAACTTTAAAGTATTTATATAAATTATTTACCTCTCAGGTTTGCAAAGAGTTAAAAGATTGATAGCAATACTCAGTATTGGCATTATCATACACAGTTCATGGCATTCAAGTAAAACCTTTTTAAAGAGCAATCTGATTAATTACATCAAAATTTTAAATGTATATATTCTTGAATTCATAAATTCCAGTTTTATGTTTTTGACTTGAGGTTATAATTTGTCAAATGCACAAAGCTATATATGCATTATGGAATTGCTTTATAATATCAAAGAATTGTACAAAACCTAATGTTCACCAATGAGAATTGATTAAACAACTTATTGTATGTGTATACAGTACAATCCTATTGTATCAGTTACAAGGCTTTCAGCTACAAGTGCAAAAAAAATGTAGTCAAGTAACAGGGGATTTATTATCTCATGTAATAAGGAGTCTTACTATAGAGTGGCTCCAGGGTACTTAAATCTGTAGTTCAATGGCATCATAGAGGACCCAGTTTTCTTATGTCTTCTTTGTCCTCTTCATTGTCAACTAATTCTCTTCCTGATCACATTCAACAAACATATACCAGGTGCCGATTGACTACAGAGATACAATAAGGAGCCAAAATAGACAGTTCCTGCCCTCATGTATTTACAGAAAATATAGTGTATGTGAAAAAGGTAACAGCACAGTATGTGTTATACGATACCATTTATGAAAAAGGTTCATTTTGGTACAAACATAATACCTAAACATTTCCTGAGTATGTTTACTGTGTGATGTTTACCAAGTGCCAGGGCCTGTGCTAAGTATTTTATATGGATTATATCATTTCATCCTCATGACAAACCTAGGAGTTAAATTCTCTTATTATCCAAGACTCAGAGAGATTGGGTCACACATACACCAATTGATAGAGTAAGAATTTGAAACCATGTTTGTCTTGCTCCAAAATTTAGAAATTTCTTCAAAGTTGCAGAAATACTGGTGAACAAGATGAATAAGATTCTTACTTTTGTGGAGCTTACAACTGGAGAAGTAGGCAGAGGCAAGGTTATTCAAGGCTTTGTAGTCATGTTAAGAAATAAAAGGTTTATTTGGATTTTGTTCTAAATGTGATGAGAAACCACAGGTGGGTTTTATGCAAGGTAATGCCTTAATCTTATTTCTGTTTTGAAAAGATTATTCTGGCTGTTATGTTGAAAATGTATCATGGGAAAAAGAGTAGAAATTGGAAAACTAGTTTGGAAGATACTGAAGTAGTTCAGAAAGAGTTGATAGTGGCTTGGATAAAGGTGATGGCAATGGAGATGAAGAAAAATGGCAGACTTGTATATATTTTGAAAATAGAGCTGACAGTGCTTAATGATGGATTTGATAAGGGAGGTGAAGGATTTAGGGTAACTCTTAAGTTTCTGTGTTGAACAGGGAGTGGATGGTGGTGTCATTTATAGAGATGAGGATTGTGGTGGAAGGAGCACATTTTGATAGATGTTGGTTTCATATTAGAAATGTTGAGTTTGAGGAAATTGTGGATATGTTTAGTAGGCAAGTTGGCTGTGTTGGTATAATGCTCAGAAGAGTGGGCTGGAGCAGTTCATTTGGGAGTCCTCAATGCAAAGACAGTAACTGAAGTCATGAGAATATGTAAGATTGTCTAGGGAGAGGAGAGGATGGAGAGCAAGAAAAGAATCGGGCCTCCAACAGAACTGACAACACTGACTCCTGAGAGGCTTGGAGTAGGAAGAAATCATTCTATCAACACTATGCTAGCAAAGGTCACTCATGACTTCGTGCTCCCTCAAATCCTATGGATATATTTTAGTCCTTATCTTTCTGAACCCACTGCTGCATTGTGTACTATTGTCCACTCCTTCCTATGTAACTTTACTTTCCAGGTTTCTATTCTTTCCTTCACATTTTTTTTTGTACTCCCCAGGGGAGACTAAAGAGTTAGACTTTATGTTGAGTTGTTAGGAAGTACTTATGGAGATATACCTTCCCTAGGATTAGGAAGCTGATTGCAAATTTTGGAAGCTGTTGGTTCCAGAACTTGATGGAGGTGAGGGAGAATTCCTGATAGAGTGAAGAGCAAGTACAAAGGCTCTGAGGTATGAATATGCTTGATGTGTTTGAAGAACAAGAAAGAAACCCATGTAGCTGGAGTAGAATGATCAAGAGAACAGCAGTAAGAAACAAGTTTACAGATGTTATGGGAAGGGTTCTTCTGTAGGCCATTGGAAGGACTTTAGGTTTTAAGCTAAGTAAAATGCATCACTACTGGAGAATTATGAGTAGATGATTGCTCATAACTAATGTCTTAGGCTTCCTCTGGCTGTTGTGTGAGAATGGACTGATGGGGACTAGAGTGGAAGCAGGGAGACCAGCTATCACAATAACTCAGGCAATAAATGATAGTGGCCAGGAGTAGTGTGTTAGCAGTGAAAATGGAAAAGCTGTCAGATTCTGGTTATACTTTTAAGGTAGAACAACAATAACATCCAGATAGATAACATGTGAACTATGAAAGAGAGGAGTCTTGGACGACTCCAAGGATTTTGGCAAAAATACATGGAAGGACCAAGTTGTCATTTACTGAGAAAGGCAAGGTTATGGGAGGAATTTGGGAAGATTAGAAGCTTGGTTTGGGACATGTTACATTTCTGATGCCGAATAGACATTCAGATAGAAATGTCAGGTAGAGCAGTTGGTTATAAAGGTCTGGAGTCCAAAGAGTCTAGCTGGAGATATAAATTTAAGACTCATTGGCTTAATGATGGTATTTACAGGCATGGGATTGAATGAAGTCACCAAGAGAATATAACTGAAGAAAAGATGATCAAGCCCTGGGGAGTGTTTTAAAGGAGAATGAAGTTATAAACTATATTAAATGCTGTTTCATTGTTGGTCTTTTTTCTTTCTTTTCTTTTCTTTCCTTCCTTCCTTCCTTCCTTCCTTCCTTCCTTCCTTCCTTCCTTCCTTCCTTCCTTCCTTCCTTCCTTCCTTCCTTCCTTCTTCCCTCCCTCCCTCCCTCCTTCCCTCCCTCCCCTCTCTCCCTTCCTTCCCTTCCTTCCTCCCTTCCTCCTTTCCTCATTCACTCATGACTATAAAGATGATAAAGCTGTGCAGAATTCAGTCTACTTATGTCCAGACTCAGAATTAAATTTTTTTCTTCTTTTATCCTCATCTAAATATGTACTATAAACCCTAAGCAATGTTCTGAACTATTATGTTCCAAACTGGACCCCACACTGCAATGATTCTGATGCAAAAAGTGTACCATAGTAGGACTTTAAAAAGCTGAGGCAATTTAGCCTGGAGGAAGGAAGACTTTTCAGGGAAGACAATAGTTATAATCAGCTACCTGGTGTCAGAATTAAAATCCTTAACTAAAAATTGCGATGATTCAGATTTAGACTTGACAGAAACAACTTTTCCAAAAATGCTATGCGATTCCCAGGCAGTACTGATTTCTCTGTGACTTTCAACATGATGATCATACAACTTAAAAAAAATCATATTCTCTTTCTGGCTTTGAGATACTGGTAAATACTGTGCTGCATAGTATCATATCTGATTGATATCCTTGGTAGTGGTTGCCACACTGTAGTGACAGATTCTGGAAATAGCTACAACACACACTTGGAATTTCACAGTCACATAATCAACCATTTTACTAAATACAAGCATATTTTCATTCACATACAGCTAAAGAAAACATTTTTTTCACATTTCATTACAGTTTACAACAAAGTGAGGAAAAGTATACAGTACATTTTATTCTGGAATATGAGACTATTCCAACATGCAGTTGTGGTCTTTGTTACAAGTTAATCTTTTCTTTACCTATGTAGTAAAATAGCTTCTAAAGCTTTATCCTTAGTATTATATTAACACCTGATTTTTTCACACTTATTTTCTAAAACCCACTTATTGCAGTGACAACAGCACTGAAGTATACTAAAATGATTGTTAAAGTTTCTAGAACTTGTTTAAGCAATTAAGCTCAGCCACCTTTGCTGGATCTATGCTGAGTATTTTTAAACCTGCCTAAAAATGCAAGGAATGGGAAAAGTATACATATAATGTATTTTAGTCAAGAAAACTGTAGAGAAGTTTTGTTTCTATCTTTTGTTTTGAACTGACAGAATCCAGTCAACTCTCATTTATCCACTGGATAATCTTGCTTTCAGAATCGTTTAAACATAATTAAATATAACAGATGATAAACTTTGTGTTAACCCAATTTACTGTTTTTTATTTGTCTTCTACAATCACAAAACTGGCAACTCAATTACTCCACCCAAGCCTGGTCATGTTAAAGGAATGTCAAGATCATGATTGCTTCACTTGTAGTTGTTCTGCAGGTTGGTCCAAGGTGGTTTGTTTCCATAATTTTCATTATTTGGCTTCTTTATTCTGGCTGAAGTAAATTCCCAAACTTTCAAATTCAATCACATTCACACTGAAGTTTAATATTATATCTTAAAGCAATTTACCATTCTCAGGCTTTCCTATCACAATGAATATGAGAAATCTGACTCTAATCAGAATTTTTTTCTGATTATGAAAAGTATGGCTTTTGCCTAGCTGAACTGGCTACTATCCAAAAAAATGATAATAATAATTTAAAGTGTCACCTCTCTTAAAGATGATAATGAAACCTCAAGCCAACCATTCCAATTTTCTGATGCAGTTATCTGTCTGTTCACCTGAGAATTAAGAACTGACTTTCTAGGGTAGACAGGAACCTCGTATAGGAATATGGCAAACAGGTGGCCAAGGTCATTGTGAGGTGAGTATTTTATCCCCATCCCACCTCCCACTGCTATATTTGGTTCCTTTCAATAATATGACCACTGTGTTTCAGTGATAAGAACACTTCTAGCATACACAGTTCTAATGTGTTTTCAGTTGTGCAATTATTCACTTGTTTAAACCCTCTTATCAGTAATACCTGAATGGGCTTTACCTTTGATTCATCCCTAGGTTCCCTCAGGATTATAGCTGAGTTGCAATCAATAAAGAAACATATCCTAACATGTAGAGAACATTTATTTACAGTCATATCTCTTCCAAAGTGAACAAATTAATAACAGTTCATTCATCTGACAGCAGGACAATGCAGTGAAACAAGAACTAGGAGTCGAGAGAACTTCACCTTGGCCAAGTGAATCTCCTGCCTCTTAGTTTACTTTCATAACATGAGTAAGAAAATCTCACAGGCCTATTATGATGATCAAATAAGTAATTCTAGTTACTGTACTGTGTTTATAAGGGTTATAGCGCCTCCTGTTGAGCAGGTACTCAGTACAGGACTGATGAGCGAGTGTTTGCCTCTTTTTTCAGAGGCAATCCCTGTATTGTTTCCATGACTCAAAGAGACAGGCACATTGTTTACTTCTGCCAATGCAGAAGAAACCCCAGGCATGGTCAGAGGGAAAAGAGGGCATGATGTTTGGGTTAGTGTTTCTTCTACTTACAGGATATTTTGCATGGGACAGTTTCTTTCATACAGCTGGTTATTTTATCACAAGGGCGTACATTTTTCCCAATGTGATAATAGCAGTGTGTAAATAGCCTCCCTTTTCATATTCACACCAATTTTACTAGAACATTAGATCTTGAAAGGGTCTTAGTAAATAGCTGGTCCACACCCCTCATTTTACAGATGAGCTCTTTAGAAGCCAATTTGTACCTTTTAACCAAACCCAGCATACACACTTGGTATAGGATAATCTCACTGATAAAGATGATCTCAGTTCTTTTTAAAAATTTTTGCTAATTGTTCCCAACGATATACTTTTCCCCTATTACATCATGTCTTTGTGTTCATGACCTATGAATAAGCTAAAATACCAAGAAATAGTTGTCTTGTCTGTGGATGTATTTTTCTGGGGCCTGGATACCCAAACCTCAGGCTCTTGACATGTGGTCCACAAAGGGCACACAGAGCAGCCACTGCCCAGCACGGGCCATAAAACAGTGCCTGGCCCATGCCAGTAATTTAGTCCCTCAGTCACAGCACCCAGGCTCCCCATCCACCTGCTCATAAGCTGTCGGAGTGCCCCTTGGGAAGGAGGCTCACTTGGTATCCAAAATGAAGGTTGAGTTCTCTTCAGTCACAGAAGGATTCTATTCATTTCCATCACTTTTAAGTTCAGATGGGAGAGCGTGTTTTGGAAATAAAAAGGCCTGACTAGCACAAACATCTCCTCTCTGATTTGACAACCTCTTCTGAAGAGTGAACCACATTTGGTACAAATCCACTCTTCACCCCTTCCCAGCCCTCCTGGATTGTAATATCCCCCCTTTTAACCAGCTCATATATGTCTTTCGTCAGGTCTGTGAAGGCTTTCTCCACATTAATGGCATCTCGGGCTGACGTTTCAATGTACTTCATGCCGTACGCAGCAGCCAGTTTCTCTGCCTCATGGCGAGTCACTTGCCTCTGTGTATCCAGGTCACACTTGTGACCCACCAGAACAAATACAATTTGGTAGGGCTGAACGTGTACTTTGGTCTCTTCTAACCACTCATGGACATTCTGGAAGGACCTGCGGTTGGTAATGTCAAATAAGAGAAGACCACCTACTGAGTTCCTGTAGTAGGCTCGAGTGATGGATCTAAAACAAAAGAAAGAAGTAAAGAATAAAAGCCATACCCCAAATCCTATATTTTAATGAACTCAATGTATTCTAGTGTTTCTGGTTACTGACACAGTTCTTTAGTAAAAATGATTTTCTTTCTTTTTCTTTTTTTTTTAAATCCTCACTCAAGGATACCAGAATCGAACCGGCAACTCTTCGGTGTGCAGGCCGACGCTCTAACTGCTGAGCCAAATCAGCCATGGCAAAAATGATTTTCTTCTTAACAACAAAATAAAAATGCCATTCCATAATAATAATGATGATATGTTAATTTTCAATTGTGCAAAATTTTGAGATGGCATCTTTTAGAAATGAATGCTCATGGACTTAGAGGCATTTTCCCTCAATTCAGGTAGAGCCACAGCTAACTGTCCCACCCCCACATCTGAATAACTAAATGAGACTTTCTGTTCTGCAAAATAGGATACCCAAGTCACAGGTTACCATGAGGTAAAATAAAATAATGGATGTCAAAGTTATTCTGTGACCTGGGCAGCTCATTATAAATTCTAGTAGTTGAAACAATTAAAAGATGAATTTATGATAGTTGATGGAAAAATGCTTAAATATATAGGTATATTGTAATACACTCCATTTTTTCCCATTTATCATTACCATTTTGTCTTTCTATTATTCTATTATTATTTTAATCTAACAGGGGTCCTCAGTCTCTTCTGTGATGAGGAACACAATTTTGTGTTTATTTTCCAGGTCATTGGGAATAGGAAAAAGAGAGATGGTCTTGAGCAAAATGCCTATCAGCCATGTTTTCTGACACCCTTCAGAGAGGCTGAATAAAGAGCCACCAATTGGGAAAAACTGCCTCAATTGCCAACGCTTCCCTTTAAAATGACATGATTTATTTAAAGCATTGTATTTAGAATATTACTAAAACTTATTATACATTTGCTGTGTTTCGTAAACAGAAAAAAACTCATATTTTTAACTTCTTGATTTGAGGAGCTTCATTATCAATATAAATTATAGTACTTTGCTTAGAGCATTTCAGAACTTATTGGAGGGTATAGAATTATTTGCTTCTACAACCACTTGCTTTAAACTATTGTGCTTTTTGATCTATGTCTATTTTTAAATTTTCTGTCTTCCTGGATGGAGAAGGTAAAAATGAGGGGCTCAATAGCTTAAGGCTTAGGGCAAATGGCCCAATGGTAACAGAACATTGTCCAGAGGATTCAAGTCCAAATTAGATGATGGTAAGAGCAAACCTTACAAATGAATTCAAGTCTCTAGAACCAGGCAAATCAGCCCTAAGGAATGAAAACAGTTCTAATTCCCTTATGTTTGAAGATTAATGGATACATAATCAAAGATTTTGATTTGTGAATAGCTTGGTTCAAGACATCAATAAGTAAGCTGTAGATCCCTTTCAAAACTCTAAAATACATTATTACGTTAGTATTTAGAAAGTAACAAAGCCCTATCTAAGCATAACATAAGGTTGCATAAAAATTAAAATCTTCTGTACATCAAAAATTTTTTTTGAACAAAGTTCAAAGGCAAATAACAAACTGGGAATATATTTTACAATATACATGACAGAAAAGGATAAATATTCCTAATCTAAAAAGAACTTTTACAAATCAATATCACCCAATATAATAAGCAGTGGATGTGAAAAGGTTATTCATACAGATATTACAATAAATATAAAAAGACATCTTTCTTCACTTATAATATGAGAAATGCATTTACAAGTTCAAAGTGAACCTGTTCAAGGACATGCCAGTGTTGTTTGTGGAAGTGGGGAATTGGAGACAACTTAAGTTTGTAGTTATCTCTTCTCCCTATCCCCTCTTCAACTGCCTAACCAGTATCTTCTATGCTTAATTAATGTTCAATAGATAAATGAATAAATGATCATAAACAAGGGCTATTGAGTCCTTTTGATCTAGTTCTTGATGCTCTATGTCACTTTAGTTCAAATTGCTCTCTCAAAGTTTTCTGTGTACATTACTCTCTGTCACTTCTGTCTTTATACATGCTGTTTCCTCTCCCTGGGCTTTTTTCTGTCTATTCATTAGGCCTAATTTTCTCCAGGTAGCCTTCCCTCCCTCTGTATATATTATACATATAATTACAAGTGGTACATACTACAGAGGAAAAACAAAGAGTTTTAAGAGAAAATTAAACCTGTTCATTGATTAGTCATTGTGTGCTAAGAGTTATAGTAGGGAGTGGGCATACAAATATAAACAGGATTATCTGTTGTGTAATTGCTGTTTATCTGTCCTCACCCCCCACTATGCTAGTACATAAGTTCTAAGAGGGAAAGGCCTATATCTGTTTTGTTTACATGGCATCCCCTTATCTAAGTTTCCTCAGAAACAAGCCTGACATCTGGCAAAGAGTGGATGATCACTGGATATGTGCTGGTTGCAATCATCAATATCTGACTATTTCATATATATGTATATATAATACATATATGTATATGTATATATCTGTATCTATCTATCATCTATCTATCTATCTATCATCTATCTGTCTATCTATCTATCTATCTATCATCTAACATAATACAAATACATCTGCACCTATGTCTATCTCTATATCATCTGTATATATCTGTCTATATATGTTGGGGTGACCTGGGAACATTTTTAAAAGTATGTAACATAGGGACTGAGATTGATGAATTACAGTGATAAATTCCAACTGGTTTATTAGCCACCGAAGGGCAGGTTGGTGGAGTTGTGCAAGCAATACCTATTATTGACCGGCCTTCCTGCTCGGGAGATTCTTCCCCTGCAGGGAACTCCCAGTTAGCTGATGGTGGGCTTAAGTGGAAACCCCAGGCCTTCTGTAGGGTCCCTATGGGCAGGCGCGACCAGGACCAGGAAATCCTCTTTCCCCAGGGGTTGTGCAAACTCGGAAGACCCTCCCATGCTCGCGGGCCCCGGCTGCGCTCCCACCTGAACCTCTCTTGACCCGCGGTATCCCAGATCTGGAGCTTGATGCGTTTTCCTGGCTCGATCTCCACCAGACGGGAGAAAAAATCCACCCCCACGGTGGGGTCCGAAACCTGGGCAAAGCGGCCCTCAGTGAAACGGCGGATCAGACAGGACTTGCCCACCGTGGAATCCCCTATGACAATGAGCCGGAACTGGTACAGCCAGATGGCCTCCATGTCCTGGGCTCGGCAGGTCTCCTTATCCCTGGCCCTGGGCGGCGAGAGGGGCGTCCCGCCGAGGCCTCGGAGAGGGTGGCTCCGTCGGGATCTAGATCCGCTGCAAGCACATAGCTTGGTGGGGAGCCCGAGGCGAGGTAGGCCCAGGCGCGGGGAGAGCGGAGGGATGGATGCTGCGATCGCAGAGGTGATGAAATGGCAGCAGCATCAGCACCACGCACTCTGACTCATCACTGACAACCAGGTTACTGTAATCCCCCGCGTAGACGCGACGCCTGGAGCTGCCGCACTGTCTGTAAAAGGAGCGCACACAGAAACGACCGAAAACCGTTGGTTCCCTTGTCTATTTTCTCCACCCATCCCCTCCTCTTAATTAAAAATGTTATTTGTCAAATTGCAAAAGAAATGCCTTTTAATAAAACTAAGAAACAATACAAAATGTACGTATAAATGAAAGTCCATAATTATCTGTTCCCCTCCCTCACCAAGATATTAACAATTTGGCATATATTCTTACACGTGGATTTCCTTGGAAATATATATGTATATATAAATACATGTGTACATATACACCTATAATAAAACATATATGTATACATATATACATTTACTGCCTTTTTATTTATTAATTTTATTTTTGTTACAGATGTTTCTCCTTTTTTACCCCATTGACACCCTCCTCCCCATCCCCCTACCCCGCCCCGTCCCCAGATTTGTTGTCCATGTCCATTGGTTATGCATACATGTATATAAGTTCTGTGGTTTATCTCTTCCCACCCCCACCCCCTCTTCTGAGGGTTGTCAGACTGTACCCTACTTCCATGTTTCTGGGTCTACCCTATTCCTCAGACTGTTATGTTCATTATATTCCATATATAAGTGAAATCATGTGGTATTTGTCTTTTTCTGCTTGGCTTGTTTCACTTAGGATAATACTTTTTAGGTCCCTCCATATCGTCTCAAAGGATAAGAGATCTTTCTTTTTTACAGCTGCATAGTAATCCATTGTTTATATGTACCACTGCTTTTTTATCCATTCGTCTATTGATGGACACTTGGGCTGTTTCCAGATCTTAGCTATTGTAAATAGTGCTGCTATGAACATGGGGGTACATATATTCTTCCTGATTGGTGTTTTAGGCTTCTTAGGGTATATTCCTAGGAGTGGGATCACTGGGTCAAATGGAAGTCAATTTTTAATTTTTTGAGGTAACACCATATTGTCTTCCATAGTGGCTGCACCAGTCTGCATTCCCACCAGCAATGTACTAGAGTCCCCTTTGATTCTACAAAAATTGAATAAAATTGGACCTGACACTTGCTTTTTTAATATATATTTTAATTGATTTTTTTTTTGAGAGAAAAGAAGGTAGAAAGAAATAGAAACATCCATGTGAGAGAGAAGCAGAGATTGGCTGCATCCTGCACGCCCCCTATTGGGGATGGAGCCTATAGCCTGGGCATGTGCCACCACCAGGAATGGAACCAAGACCTCTCAGTCCTTGGGAGGACACTCAATCCATTGAGCCACATAGGCTGGGCCACACTTGCTTTTCGCAATTAACTAAGAATCATAGACATCTCTCCATTTCCAACTAATCTTCCTTCTGCCATGACAATGATGCAATAAACATTCTCAAGTATAGTCACACATATATTATTTCCATGAGTTAGAGTCTTACAAGATGGCTTAGGAAGTCAAAGAATATGAGTATTTTAAATGTAGTGGATATAGGCATTACATGCAATTTGCAAAAATATTTACCGATTTAAATTCCAGTCAACAATTTGTGAAAAGACCATTTCTTTGCATTGTTTCAAGCATTGTATACTATATTCTCTCGTAATTCTAGCCAGTCCTATATAGTGAAGTAAAAAGGTATTTTTGCTTTATTTTATGACTACTAATGAAGTCAACATCATGTCTTCTGCATTGACCATTTGTATTTCCTCTTCTGGGGATTGCCTCTTCAAATTTTTTGTATTTTTTCTATGTGGTCTTCTATCATTGTTTTACTCATTTTCTTAAAAAAATATTAATATATATAATTTACATGACATATAATTCACTCAAAGCATAAATTCAATAATTTTCAGTATAGTCATAGAGTTGTGCAACAATCGCCACAAATTTAAAATATTTTAATTACCTCAAAAAGAAATTGGTGCCTTTTAGCCAACATTCCTGTGTTCCCTTTCTCTTCTAGGCAACCACTAATCTACTTTCTGTCTCTGTACATTTCCCTATTCTGGATGTTTGATAAAATTGGAATCATACAATGTGTGGACTTTTGTATCTGGCTTCTTTCACTTATTGTAATGTTTTTAAGGTTCGCCCATGTTGTAGCATGAATCAGTACTTTATTCCTTTTCATGGCGGAGTAATATTCCATTGTATGAATAAAGAACATTTTATTTATCCAGTCATCAGGATTCTGGATATTTGTGTTGGCCTAACCTTAGGCTATTCTGAGTAATGCTGTTATGAATATTTATGTACAAGTTTTTGTTTGAAAACATGCTTTGAAATATTTTGGGTTTAAACCTAGGAGTGGAATTCCTTGGTTCTATGGTAACTCTAGGTTGAATCCTTTGAGTAAATGTCAGATTGCTTTTGATAGTGGCTGTACCATTTACATTCCTACCAGCAATGTATGAGGGTTTCAGTTTCTCCATATCTTCTCCAATACTTTTTTATGACATAAATCAAAACAATAATTTTAATACTTCTATGTACACCTAGAGGTAAGTTTAAAATTATTACAATCTGCCTATATTTGTTATTTAATACATTTAAAATAATTTGACATTTTGGACTTTTGATTTTTTGAAAATGTATTTCTTTATTTTTGTTACAGATGTTTCTCCGTTTTCCCTATTGATACCCTCCTTGCCACTCCCATCCCCTCCTTCACAGTATTGTTGTTTATGTCCATTGGTTACATATATATGCATGTGAGTTATTTGGTTTATCTCTTCCCACCCCTCCATCCCCCTCTTCCTCTGAGGTTTGTCAGTCTGTTCCCTACTTCCATGTCTCTGGATCTATTTTGATCATCAACTTATTTTGTTCATTATATTCCACAAATAAGTGAGATCATGTGACATTTGTCATTCTCTGATTAGCTTATTTTGCTTAGCATAATGCTCTCCAGGTCCCTCAATGTAGTTTCAGAAGGTAAGGGATTTTTCTTCCTTACAACTGCACAGTATTCCATTGTGTAAATGTACCACAGCTTTTTATCCACTCACCTACTGATGGACACTTGGGCTGTTTCCAGATCTTAGCAATTGTAAATAGTGCTGCTATGAACATGGGGATGCACATATTCTTTCTGATTGGTGTTTCAGGCTTCTTAGGGTATATTCCTGGAAGTAGGATCACTGGGTCAAATGACAGTTCAATTTTTAATTTTTTGAGGAAACTCCATATTGTTTTCCACAGTGGCTGTATCAGTCTGTATTCAACACTTTATTTTCTGATTTTTTGAATCTAGAAATCCTAGTGGATGTGAAGTGGTATGTCATTGTGGTTTTGATCAACTAAACCACAATGACATTCCCTGATGACTAAGGACAATGTGAATATTTTCACATTCTTATTGGCCATTTATGTCTTTCTTGGAAAAATGTAGACTCAAATTGTTTGCCCATTTTAACTGTATTATTTGTCTTTTTATTATAGAGCTGTAACAGTTCTTTATATATTTTAGGTATATATCCTTTTCAGATATATGATTTGTAAATATTTTCTCCCATTCTGTGTTTTTTTTTTTTTTTTGCACTGTCTTTGGAAGCATGAAGTTTTAAATTTTGATTAAGTACACATTATCCTTTTTTTTTTTTTTTCCTTGTGCTTCTGGTGTCAAGTCTAAGAATACTTTGCCAAATCCAAGATCATGAAGATATATGCCTATGCTTTCTTCTATGATTTTTTAAATTTTAGTTTATACATTTAGGTTTATGATTTATTTTTTAAATTAAATTTATTGAGGGTGACAGTGGTTAATAAAATTATATAGGTTTCAAGTGCACAGTTCTATGATATATCATCTGTGTATTGCATTGTGTGCCTACCACCCAAAGTCAAATCTTCTGTCACCATATATTTGATCCCCTTTCACCTTACCCCTCTACCTCCCTTCCCTCTGGTAACCACCATAATGTTGTCTGTGTCTATAAATTATTGTTTGTTTGTTTGTTTTTCTTGTTAGTTCATTCCTTGCTTTTATATCCCACATATTGAAATCATATGGTTCTTGATTTTTCTGACTTGTTTCACTTAGCATGATATTCTCAAGATCCATCCATGTTGTCTCAAATGACAGTATTTCATCTTTCTTATGGCTAAGTAGTATTCCATTGTATATGTGTACCACATCTTTTTTTTCCAATCATCCATTGAAGGACAGTCTGGTTTTTCCATGTCTTGGTCACTATGAATAATGCTGCAATAAACATATGGGTACATATATCTTTGTTACTTGTTATATATGCTGTGAGGTAGGGTTACAACTTTATTCTTTGTGGATATCTAGTTGTCAAAGCAGCACTTGTTGGAGAGATTATTCTTTTCTCATGGAATGATTTTGGCACACTTGTTGAAAATCAATTGATCATAGACTATGGGTTTATACCTGGCTCTCAATTATAATTTTATTGGTCTATCTGTGTAGTCTTATATCAGTACCACATTGCCTTGATTGTTGTAGCTTTGTTATACATTTTGAAATTAAGAAATGTGAGTCGTCCTGTTGTGTTCTTTTCCAAGATTATTTTGGACATTTGGGACTCCTTTCAATTTCATACAAATTTAAAAATCAACTTGTCAATTTTTGTAAATAGGCAGTCGGGCTATAGATTGGGATTTTGTTGAATCTGTAGATCAATGTGGGGACTATTGCCATCTTGACAAAATGAAGTCTTCCAATCCTTGAACATAGGAAATCTTCCATGTATTTAGGTCTTTTAAATTTTCTTTCAATAATTTTTTGTAGTTTTTAATTTATAAGTTTTCACTCCTTTGGTAAAGTTATTCTTATTTTATTCTTTTTGATGCTATTGTGAATAGAATTGTTTTCTTTTTAATATTAAAGCATTTAATTAGTTTTGGAATGTTTTCTTAATTTATTTTTGGATTGATCACTGCAAGTGTGTAAAATACAACTAATTTTTATATTAATTTT